ATTTGACCAGGGTCAGACTGAAATTTCTCTTGAAGCGGACATGGGCTTAACTATTGCTCAAAAGCAAAAATTTACAATTAAGGAAATATCTCCTGACTGGGGATATACTATTGGGGCTACAAAGGTTTGTGTTTTTATTTGATACTTGGGTCCGCATGGGTTACCTTCTACATTTGAGTTTCTTTTATGCATTTTATGTAGAAGTTATGTTGGAACCCCGGCCATCTATTGGTGATGTTTTATTCAAACAAACAAAAAAAGGGTTCATTGATTCAAACAGCCAGTGCATCAAAAGAAACACATACAAATCCACTAAAAACCATAGATGAACAACATCAACCTACCCAGAAAGTGGAGCTTGGGTGGTTGAGTATACACAGACCTTACCTCCACCTAGAGAAAAAATCTTTTAGCAAAAGAAATGGGCCCTGAGCTCAGAGTTTCAGACCCTAAGCACTTGAAAATACTAATGTGACTATAGATATTTCAGTTCTCCCTAAAAAAAACTATTGTGGCTATAGAGAAAATATGACTTCAGTCTGCAGCATGATAAGGACGATAATTTGACTTGTTATATTTGACCAAAATATGATAATAGAGATATATTTGTGGATGATTTTAAGCTAAATGGCCTATTAGTATTGTTGCCTCCTGGGTGAGAGAATTGCCTGGATTAGAGCTACTATTAGTTTTTTAATTTTGTGTTCCTTAATGCAGGTTGTCATCATTGGATCTTTTCTTTGTAACCCATCAGAAAGAGAATGGATGTGTATGTTTGGTGATGTTGAAGTTCCTGTTCAGATCATTCAAGAAGGCGTCATCCGTTGCCAGGCTCCTCCACACTTGCCTGGCAAAGTCAATCTTTGCATTACCACGGGTAACCAAGAATCATGCAGTGAAGTTTGGGAGTTTGAGTACCGAGTTGAGTCCACTGGAAACATCAGTAGCCCACCTGATATCCAATGCACTTGTAAGAGTCCTGAGGAACTATTCCTGCTCATCAGATTTGGACAGATGCTTATTTCAGATGAATCGAAGCATAAACTTTGTAGTACTCATTCAGAAAATGATTTTTTGGAAAAAATCAAAGTGGGTGAGGAGCCACAGAGTCAAGTCATTGAGGCTCTCTTATTGGGCAGTTCGACATCAAATCTCACAATTGATTGGATTCTCCAGGAACTTCTAAAAGACCAGTTGCAGCACTGGATCTCTTCAAAATCAGAAGGAAAAACTAACTTGTCTGGGTGTATATTGTCTAGGAAGGAACAAGGCATCATTCACATAGTTGCTGGCTTGGGATTTGAGTGGGCATTGCACCCAATTTTAGATGCTGGAGTCGGTGTAAATTTCCGTGATATCAGTGGTTGGACTGCCTTACATTGGGCTGCACGTTTTGGGAGGTAATGGACTGTTTACAAAAGACCCCCCCCCCCC